TTTCTCTAATCTGCACATAAGATGAATGACTGTTTAGGTGCCACTGTTGGTGGCACAGTATCAATACTTTTGAAAATGAGCATTGTATCCGGATACAACTTTTCAGTATCGATACTTTTTTAAGTATCGATACTTTTGACAACCCTAGCAGACACTATTTAAAATTTTGTATATTAATCTCATATTTTTTTCCTTGTTTGGTAAATAAGAATGCATGTAATTATGGTTTATATGGCCTTTATTTAACGTTATGCTCTATGGAGAAGTTTATTAAAATAAATTTCATTCAAGATAAGAAATTTTAAACGTACACCACCCCTGTAGAAAGAAAGGTGTCATAAAGTAAATCATACCATTAGACCCCCCAACTCCTACCTATGAGGGTCATACTGAGGCTGTTGAAGTCAACACCCTAAGAAGCCATTGTGAGTGTCCCTCGCTGTAATTTTTACAAAGGTCTAATCTGGAGCCGCAGGTGATTCATTGGACCTTCCACAAAGGCTCTTTATAATATTATAATCATATAAATAAGCAGACCTCTTAATTGTCCAGTGGATTGTTTTTTTTTTTTTACTTTTTTGTAAAAAAAAAAACAAAAGTAAAAAACTGAGACTGAGAATCTTCAACAGCAGTTGCAACAGATATAGCATCATGTCTGCTAGGACCGTGGACGTGAATACAGGGGGGATCCATCACACTCACCCTCTTGCTCACCCTTTGATGGGAATGAAGTTTGGAGGAGAACTGACGGTTTTCCCTGTGAACCCCTTTTAATACCAAAACGCTGCCAATACACTGGCATACACACAAGCCTCCTGAGTACACCAAGGACCATAATGAACAACATTTTTCACGTAGATAGATAGATAGATAGATAGATAGATAGATAGATAGATAGATAGATAGATAGATAGATCGCATTATTCTTACTCTCATCGCGGGCAGTCTTTCCCCACTTTTTTCCTCCAAACTGGGGTTCTCTACCAGAGGCCAGGGAGCTTGAGGGTTCTGCGCAGTATCTTTGCTGTTACTAGAACTGCACTCTTCTGGACCGAGATGTCTGATAATTGTCGTGTGAAAAAAGTATTCAACTATTCATCCTAGTTAAATAAATGGAGATCGATGGATTTCACTCAGTCGGCACATTTATTAATATCTTTGCAAAGAGAGAACAGTCATCAT